GAAATATATAGAGAGAGTGGAATACAGGAGAGAGAATACAATATAGAGTTGACAATGAACAAGGGAGGATGAGAAAGAGAATGAACAGTAAGCGCTGAAGGACTGAAGAAGATACCGGTCCTTTACATCTGCTCCCACCAGAAAAAATAAGGTGGCCCTGCACCGAAATGAGAGCAAAACAATCTCCCACAGAGAGAGTAACCAAAACCTAAGATATCGAAGACCAAAAAAAAAAAAAAACCAAAGTGAGAGAGAAGAAGGCAAAAACCCGAGTAGAACAACCGCAATAGAGAGAGGGAACGAGAAAAACATAGCCTAAGATAAACAACAAAGCGAAAGTAAAATAAAAATGAGTTTGGACGTCACAATTTATAGTTTTTTGTTTTCGAGCGAAAAATTTAACGTCATTTTTTTAAGTAATTGATTTTTTTCTCAGCTAAATAATGTCAGCAAGCCCAAAATAATTCAGGACATATATGTCAAGGTGTCCTCTACAAATTGAGAAATCTTAAAGAAAATCTAAATGGGAGAACACGCCTTAAAAATTTATTCAAGGAAAACTAAAGCAAAAGCATTACGGATATGCAACACTAAAAAGCGTGTACTGACTGCACTTAATCAGATAAAATCTCATAAGACACTCATTTGTGTTAAAAAGGAATAACTATTGATTCTTTGCTGTCCGCTCCAGTGATCATCTAGCATTTGTCTACACTACCGCTTCTTGACTATGAATCTTTCATGTTTTTCAGTTAATCACAAATTGTGAGCTGTACATGCAACGTTACTCGAGGTACAAATCAGATCTGTAACAATATCTGATGCAATACATCACAAAAGACAAATCATATGCCGTACCGTGGGATGTTTGGGAGCTGTGTAATGTACTGAACTGCAACATTCGATCAAGTTTCCCACTAGTCGATGAAACATCAATATCGGTGAATCACGGCAAAATTGATATGAATTGAACATTCTTTTCATTATCATCAAACTTAGAAGATAAAACAGTATACATTATATGGACCCGAACGGAATCACTGGCAGAATAGAAACATCAAAAACTAGACTATTGGATTGTAGACCACTTCGTTGCTTTATTACCGCCTAAGGTAAGAAGAATGGTCTGACTGGTTTTGTATAGTCGATTTCGCGGATTTCATACGGTAACAAGAACTTCATGATGACTTTTTCATTCAGAAAGGTCCAACCGAATCGATGGTATCATTTAGTAAAAAGGTATTTTATTTATCTACTTTGTAAGGTACCCGTAATTCAAATTTCAACTTATTTCGATTTACTTATACATGGTTGGATAGAGCTCGACGAGCTCATTAAGCTTTTTTTTGTAAACCTATCTAATTTTTTCTTTGAAGAGATATAGCCACTAGCATATCATTGGAATCGACAAACGGCGAACAACAAAGTGACATATGGATTTCTTATAATTTTGCTCCCTTGAGAGATGTTTCAAATTTGTTCAGGTCTTTTCTGAATAAAATTTTTATTGTTGGCTCAATAACAATGAAAACCAAGTTTTCTAGATAAAAACGCATGAGAAAGCCAACGGAAATACTTCCAGGATCTGTACAGGCTTTCCATAGGTCTCCAGAAAACTGTTGGTTGTCTAAAAACTTCTGAAAACAAATCCATAGCCATAGAGAATTTAATTCTGAGCAAAATAAGACCTCTCCGAGGTTCCTCTGTTCTGCGGATGAGACATTCCATTTAGCTTCAGCAGACCTTGTTCTCCGGCTAAAAACGACTTAGCCGGCCAATGGCTTCGAGTGCCTTGTCTTGGCACCAAATTTTCAGAAGTATAAAATGGAATATTAATTTTCGAAAAACGTTCTCAGAACCAGTTTTTTACGCTGAATTTGAAAACCTTTGTTAGAAACCTTCAGACTCAAGGTAGTATTCGAAAAATTAAATTTTTGAAGAGTCGTCATTCGGCACGGTAAAAGCTTTTTAAATTTTTTCACCACAGAAATTTTGTTGTGTTCTACTTACTTGTATTTTCCTCTATCTCTTATTTTTCTATCTTCAAAATCAACTATCGAGTATCACATTTGACTGATGTTGTCTTTTGAATAAAGTGGAAACGTCTCTAACAGAAAATAGCGATATTTTTCATTATGATAAAGGTGGTTTATATCTTATTATCTATTTAGAAATTTCTCACCTTAAAAATGATTCAACAGGAATTTCTTTTTAAAAGTTAATAGAGATACTTTTGCTTAATGAGCTCGTCGAGCTCTATCCACCCATGTATAAATAAATCAGAATAAGTTGAAATTTTGAATTACGGGCGCCTCATAAAAATTCTGAATTTTAACAGAATTTATGTTTCAATGAGAACGAAGACATTGAGGATTTTTTCGAATGTGGTAATGAAAATGACTGGGAAAAAGCAAACTCACGAAGTGGTCTACAATCCAATAGTTTAGTTTTTGATGTTTCTATTCTGCCAGTGATTCCGTTCGGGTCCACATAATGCATACTGTTTTATCTCCTAAGTTTGATGATAATGAAAAGAATGTTCAATTCATATCAATTTTGCCGTGATTCACCGATATTGATGTTTCATCGACTAGTGGGAAACTTGATCGAATGTTGCAGTTCATAATAGTTTTATTAACACGCCCTCTCTTTGTCTAAATCCTTTCTACTTGTCATAAAAACCATATTAATAGTTTTTTCTCATGTATTTCTCAATTATGGTCTGCCATATAACTGGCATTTAATCTGAAAATAAAAGTGATAGTGGTTAAATGTTTTATAGTTCGCCTGTGAGTTTTACCGTAAGGTAACGTTTGCCATACCTGAAGAAAACATTCACGCTTGGACTTTCAGAGAATGTATATCCGTAGATATTATCGCTAGGGTCAGGTCGTTATTAGAGCCGATCCAATATTCTGTGAATGAGGCGGAATGGCTGTGCCCCAATCCTCGGTGCGTCAAACAAAACCGAACTGATCGTCGCTACATCCTGAGAGTCACTAACAGCAAAGCGATCTTACACCGAGGATACTCACAATTATTCTAACATCAACCTTTCATGCATTTCTCGCTTCTGTGTAGTTTTATTTTGAGATCTTTATACACACCAAACATCAACTAAGTCTCCACACTGAGAAAGCCCCTATATTTGCTGCATTTCATGAGAAAGAAGACCTATTTTTGATACCCAAAATGAATGAAGAAAAATTGTACTTACTCGGTAAATCGGTTATTTTACTTATTTAGTTCTACTTTAAAAAGGTTCAAAAAGCAGATATAAACTACAAAAAGTTCGAGTATAAAAGTAGTAACTACCTCCCTCGATGACATCACCAGAAATTTCTGTATAAGTTTTTCCGTTATATACAACTATGTTTTCCAGTAACAATTTAAAAACAAAACACTAGGGAGTAAAGCAAGCAACACAAACAAAGAACTGTTTTCAAACTTCATCACTATCTTCCTTGAGGTTCATTTGTTCATAATCACATCTCAAAAAGTCAAGCAGATTAACAATTATCTTTGCAGATTAACAATTAAATGTACCAGTACTATCAATACTTTCTTCTGTTTCATTTTGTTGTTCTAGTTCGTCTTCTATTCCATGTCTTCCTCATCTTTGTATTCATAGTCGCTTAACTGACTACACTTGTCACTGTCGAGATCAGCACTTAATTGTTGTTGCTTAGAAAATTTATCAGTGTGAATCTTTTTATGTCGATTCAGGGCAGCAATAGAAGGAAAATATAAATAACATTTTTGACAAACTCGTCGGTCGATATCCTGTTGTACAGATGGGCAGTAGTAATCAAATGGAATGACATCGAGATTTAAATGTGATTTAATCAATGTTTCTAATTGTTGACGTTCCAATAGACTAGAAAATTTTGCGTTTGCACCATTGAGCTGAGTTGGGAGAGGTCCACGTGTTGACATGACAAGCGCAATAGGGGGGACGATAAAACGATTATTAACTAGGTGTGGATAATATGATCTCCATTGCTTGCAACAGCTTCTATCATCACACCGTACGATTTGTAGTAGATATTGGCTTTGACGAACGTGGGTAGAGGTCCATAACAGGTTTTCTTTACAGATGATAGTGCTCGGCTTATCGATTGGCGGTTTCACATACATTGCAACAACAGGATGATCATCAGTTTTTAGTTGTGACCAGACTTCGGCTAATGTTTCACCTAAAAAAACAGCAGTTTTCTTTAACTTACAACTCAGCACATTTACCTGCACGTTCGAAATTTCTGATTTCTAAAACTTTGTCGACTGTTTCTCCTTTCCCATTCAGATGATTTCCAAAATGATCATGGAGTAATACTAAACCCAGAATAGATATCAAAGTTAACACAACCTAAAGACTCTATTAAAAAACCACTACATACCAGATAGTTCATGAGATAATGGTGCCATTCTTCGTTCAATTTCGTTGAAGACAGATCGTCCAGGAGCATTGGTCACCACGAGCAGAGCGTCTAAATCGAATTTTTGAAAGATAGTAGTTGCAGCTGCAATTGTTTTTGGAAATCGTGGATTTTCATCTGGACCGCCATCAACGGACATCACGACAACGGGTTTCAACTTGTCCTCAGTCAGGACTGCTTTTTCGAATTCGGGTAGTTGTATTAAGGTTTCAAAATCGGTAGCATGCGCCTGAGCAGTACTATGATCATGTTTTCCTGATCGGATGGCTGCAAACGTCGGTCCACTGAATGTTACGCGCTTTTCTTTAATCAGGCAAATGGCATATACTATTAAAGAAAGGAAAAGGCGTTTAAAAGATTTTCATATAGAGATGATCTTATAAGTTTGCCACTGGGAACTAGTTTATGTTTTGTGGCAACTACAAAATCGTGATCGGGAAGTTTGATCTGTATTTTCATGCTCATTAATATTGCTGATTGTTTTTGGGCTGCGGGTACCCCCATCGGAATACGACATTTGTCATCTTCGCTCAAATACAATACGGCATCATTCCCGAGTATACTAGCAATTGTCTTTAAATCGTCGATTGTAGCTCTTGCGAATTTTGTATCCTGGTGATGTTTATGAACACTATTCTCTGGTTGACGAATTCGAACGGGGACGGTGTGAACGTGTCTTTTACCGTCGATAGTTCGTGAAGACTTCGGTAGTAATCTAGAAAAAATTCAAGTCAAAAGTATTCGAGAGCACAAAATTGGTTGTATACCGGTAATACGTAGCAGTTCTGCTAATTTGATATCCTTTAGCCTGTAATTGTTGATGTAGTGAATCCAATGTTGAACAAGATTCTATTACATCCGTGCGTCGACGACCATCAACCGCAACCACACCAGAATTTGCGATATCCACTATAACCCCTAAAACTGCAGATCTATAGTACTTTTGAATTTTTGGAGGACATTAGCACAAATTACCTAGTAATCCAGGCTGTGTGTGCTCTATGTTCCGACGTCCAACACTGGAATGGGTGAATGCATTCAATTCACTAGCAATTTCAGGATTATGATCAAGCAAACATTACAGTTGTACTTTTCTGTTCTTTCGAACTCGAACTTGAGCAATCCGATTGCTTCTCAAACGATTGATTTTATTATTTAATTTCCTTTGTATTTCAAATAATTTGTTCAAACTTTTTCCATCTTCTGGCTTCCATAATCCGGTCGATTTTAGTTTTGACAATGCAGCAATTTGTTCATGAACAACATGTAGCTCTGCTCGAGTGCTATCTTCTTTCGCACATTCTCAATGAGAAGTACAAAACAATGGTCAATCTTAGTTAAACAACAGTAAGTAGAAAGAGCACAAATGTTCGGGCGAAATGAGTTGTAGAAACTGTTCACAATCTCATATGTTTTATGATAGCCGATGCCCCGCTTTAATCGAATATCGTCGTGTACTAATGGGTCATTTGATAGACAA